AGGGCCCCAAGTGCACAAAGTGGGCGCGGGCTGTCCAGGAAAAGTTCTAGAAACAATCAGCCCGGGAGCGCGGGGCGTCAGGGGTGCTGGAAACCGCCGGGGCCTCCTCTTCCCCTTTCCTTCCCCTGGGCGCACAGGGCAGCGCTGGCAGCTGTTTCTTCCCTTTAGAAACGCCATTCCGAGCCACAGTGAGAAGTAAACACAGAAAAAGCTACAACTGGATCCTCTGGGCCTCACCTCGGGTGTTTGCCACGGTCCCTGATTTGTGTGAAGATAGTGGTTCCAGCGTGATGGGCGCGTGCGCGCGCGCGCGCGCGGAGTGAACTTGGCGCAGGACACCCCCTTGGACTTGAGACCGTGCGCCCAGGTCGGAGTCCAGCCCGGGTCTGGGGTGCGGGTGCCAGGAAGAGGCTCTGGGCTCCCGGAGAAGGTTCCCCTCCTCCTGGGAGCAAACAAGCTCTTGGAGGTGGCCAACGCCTCTCCCTGTGCGCCCACCTGTGGCGGACCTTTGGCGCCAGAGCCCAGGTGATGTGCCTCTCTTAATACGGCTGTTAAAGGCCCGAGCTGTGGTGCATGGGCCCAGGGACTGAAGGGTCCCAGGTTCAGTTCCAGCCAAGGGCACATACCTATGTCCTATGTAGGTTGCGGGCGCTCCAATCGATGTCTCTTTCTCTCTCTCTCTCCCCTGCCCCCTCCCTTCCCCTCTCTCTAAAAATCGTTAGAAAAATATCCTCGGGTGAGGATTAACAACAGCAAAAATGTAGACATTTACAGGTGTTCGATGATAACAGCAACAACCATATGGGGCTGACGGAGCGAATATTGCTCCAGAACTTCTCTAATGACTGTCTCCCTCCCGTGAAATCCTGTTTTCAGGGATATGTGGGGCACCATACGTCTTTATCTTATGTAACACACACATACATAGCTAATTGAATGGCAGTTTGGAGGCAGAAATAACAAAATGGGGGGAGGGGTGGAGCGGGGAGAGGCTTTTAGCGTGGGGTTAAGGCACCCAAAGGCCTAGAACGCAGAAGGCCCCAAGCCAGCCAGGGCCATGTGTAAAGAAATGCTGATTTATTCAGACCCAGAGAGTCCTTACTCCTATGGTCCACATCTCTGCAGAACTCTCCGTACTATGGCTAATATTTTATTTAAAAATTTTTGACTGATTTTAGAGAGAGGAAGAGAGAAACAATCGATGCTCTATCCACTGAGCCAAACCGGTCAGGGCTTGACTGATTTTAGAGAGGGGAAGAGAGAGAAAAACAATCGATTATTGTCCCTATGCATTCATTGGTTGTTTCTTGTATGTGCCCTGATCAGGGATCGAACCCGCAACCTTGGTGTATCTGGGTGACACTCTAACCAACTGAGCTACCCAGCCAGGGCCGTTAATAGTTTAAAATCATACAATGAAAAAGGTACATTTTAGTAAGTTGAGGCTCACTTTTCAGAGTCTCTCCATACATTGAAATGAATTTAGAACCTTACTCCTAGTGAAATATATCAGAATTTATTTTCCCTGGAGATCTAAACAGCCATTTACAGTTCAAATACTGAAATGTCATAGGAAGGATATGTTCTAAATGGCAGAGAAATAGGCAGTGACCTAAACCTTTATGGGCTAAAGTTGCTCCGTGAGTCTACCTGAGTACGGAATCCAAACCCGACTCCTGCCCGGCCGGCGTGGCTCTGTCCCTATGCATTCATTGGGGAACCAGGAGGTCCCGGTTAGAGTCCCGGTCAGGGCACATGCCTGGGTTTCGAGCCCGATCCCCGATGTGGGGTGTGCAGGAGGCAGCCGATCCATGATTCTCTCTCATCATTGATGTTTCTATCTCTCTCTCCCACTCTCCCTTCCTCTCTGACATCAATAAAAATATTTTTTAAAAAAACAACCCCGACTCCTGCTGTGCGGGAGGCCTGTCCCCTCATGGGCATCTGGATGTTAACTGATGGTGATGATATAGTAATTACTAAATAAAAGTACGAGATGGGATCTACAGATTACATAACACAGCTCATTTCCCCCCCAAATAGAAACTATATTTAGAAATATTCAAATGTGACACTGTTACTCTCTGCAGGATGTCTTATCTCAGCATCAAGGGCTTCTGCGGAGTGGCTGGGAGATTATGCAATCGAACTCGTAACGCCCATTCAGAGGGTGAGCTCAGCCGGAGCGCGGGTGCCTGCGAAGTAAACAGGAATGCCGTCCGTCTTGCCTCCAGACCTCGTCTGCCCCCCGGGACAAAGTCACCTCCGGGAAGAATCTCAGGGCTGATTTTGTGATGAATTTTACCTGCCTGAACAAGACTGGATACACTAGGGATCTGAGTTTTAAAGGGCTAGTCTACCTTTTTTCAAATCTATTTTTTCAAGATTGTATTATGCTGACCAGCGTGGCTCAGTGTGGCTGGCCTGGCTGATAGGTTGAGCCTATCTATAAACCCGGAGGTCTTGATTCGATTCCCAGTCAGGGCACATGCCTGGGTTGTGGGCTTGATCGTGCAGAAGGCAGCCGATCCGTAACTCTCGCCAGTCAGGGCACATGCCTGGGTTGTGGGCTTGATCCGGGCGTGCAGGCGTGCAGAAGGCAGCCAATCCGTAACTCTCTCATCATTGATATTTCTCTGTCTCCCTTCCTCTCTGAATACACACACACACACACACACACATATATATATAATTTCCCTCTTCCTCTCTGAAATCAATAAACATGTATTTTAAAAAAGATTATATTATGGAAGAAACCATTTATACCATTGTAATAGGGTTATTCTATTAAGGAGATTTCACTCAATTCCCAATCTGTTTCTCAGATCCCAAATAAAAGAACAGTTTCATGGCCCAATGTCTAAGTTATTCTAAAGAGTGATTTGCCTACGGTATGCTTTTTGTCCTAACATAGCTTTCGGTGGCTCCTACAGACTGTTTTATGCGGCTCAGTGCCATAAGGCAGCACACAATATTAAATGATAAACGCAGGTGTAGACTTCATATTCTATAACTAAAAAAAAAAAGTTAGACCTCAAGTTCACCGAGGAAAGCTGTTTCCAATCGCGTTAAGCTGTATTGTCATGGGGAAGGAGAGGTAACAGGTCGATGGGTTAACACAAAGCTCAGTTAAACTAGGTACAAATGAATTTGTGAATGGGAAGGAGGGACGGTGTGGATATTCCTAATTATGGATTCGCCTGGGGTTTAATAGGGAAATCCATAGGTAATCCATAAACCTGGTCATTTCCCATCTTCCAATCCCTTAAGTAATTTCCAAATCGACTTTTCTGTTATTTTTTTTTTTTTGCGCCTTTTAAATTGCTGTGAGGGGATGATTCACCACCACCTTGGAGGAAAACGCAGGCTGCCCACGGAAACAGCAAAATAGTTGAAAATCCGGGCGGTCACGCCCACAATTTCTATTTGTCTGTCATCACATGTCATCATCATCAATGCCAGAGCTGCCGGAGGCCTGGCCAGTGGCGCGGAAGGAGTTAAACAGCCCCCCCCCCCCCTCCAACCCCCTCATTTCTCAAACCTCAGCGGACGGATGGAAGTAGGTAACTGTGTTCCATTCACTGGTGACTGTGACCTTGGGCTGTGACACAGGGAAGGCGTGTCTTCTTCTCACTGTTCCCGTAAGAGAAGGCAAGCGAGGGAGGGTGACTCAGGCCTTCTCCGGGCCTGCAAGCCGCCGAGCGTTTTTCTGAATGATCCCGCGTCTACACTTTGGAATCAGGAAGAGAAACATTTCACTCTTCACTCACCACATAAAACCGTCTATCCATCAGAGGCAACGCGGCTTAGGGGAGCCAGGGACTTAAAAAAAAAAGCCGTTCCACATTTTCCCTTTAACCCCCCCCCCCCCCCCACCCCAGCTTTGGGGTATAAACAAAGACATCTGCCACATCAAGAGCCTGGTTTGTTTGGTGTTTTTTAAAACTGGAAACTGAAATGCGATCATCAGCGTGTCCCTTGAAAGGAGCTTTTGAAATTTAAAAGTGACTTCTGCAACCTGCACTATTTTAAGTTTCAGTCAAAATGAGCCCTCGCATTTAAGAGAGTTTAACATTTCACTTGATCATGAAACGAAACTTGTGTGGCACGATCTACAATTTACTGTTTAAGAATACTGTTTCTTGAAAACTGCCTTCAACAGGCTACTAAATATATGATTAAAATATAACGATGAGCCCCGCAAGTTATTGGACCATCCCTAATGAAAATATATCCCAGGACCCATGATCTGTTGCTGTTTAAAAACATATACTTTTTTTTTTTTTTAAAAAGGCCTCGGAAAATGTCCAGTGCTCCCAATTTTATTTTTATTTAATGCTAAGTCTGTGTGTGCACACCCTGTCCTCTAACTCCTTAGAAGTTTCACAACTTCCTTTCCTGGAGAAGTCAGCCAAGCCATTGATCGACAGGGTAAAAGCTGCAGACACCTAGACATGTCCTATGTGACAGTAAGTGTAGTAGTTTGTAAAGGCATCTCCTTTCATCTCTATAAATCCCGGCTTCACAATATCCGTGAACCTCCTGCATGACTTTGGCTCTGACTCTCTACTCCAGAACTTTCTGAAGGGTAGGCTTTTTTTTTTTTTCTTTCTCTTTGGCCTTCAAGTGCATTTCATCTGGCCCCGCAGGGCGGTTTTCCTCCAGAGCTTTCCAGAGAGCGAGCAGCTCCATGTCCTGACAGTGTCTGCGATGTCGTCACTGCCTTCCCCTTCCAACCTGCTCTTGCAGCCCCGCTGGCTCGCTGCAAGCTCAACCATAAACAAGTGCTTTTTCTGGCTTTGGGTCCTCTATCCAGTGGCCCTTTCCCCAGTCCCCTGACCCCCCTCCCCCTCTTTTTTTTCCTACCCTCAGTTCCAGCCAAACCCCGACCCCTAACCCACACACCCTTGAGCCCTACTGCCATGCGTGATTCTAACCTCACTTTTAAAAAAACTTAAAAAAAAAAGGCCTCGGAAAATGTTCAGTGCTCCCAAGTTTATTTTTATTTAATGCTAAACGTTTAAAGAGAAAAAAAAAAAAAGTACTGTAAATCTGACACATGACAGAATGCAGGTGATATTTCCACAGCGTGATTGTTTAAAATATAATCATGTTCATAGCTGAGATTACACTCACTTCGGTTTGACATAAGTTGCATCATATATAGAAAAAGTTATCACCTTCCACTTAAAAAAAAAAAAAGTTAAGGTTAAAAGGTGGCACACTTTTTAAAATACTTGGTGGCCAAGGAAAGGGTATATAGTAAAAGTTGTAAACCATGTGTTCATTCCATAACTTTTAATGTGAGGCCACATGAAAGAATACATGTGTGAAATTCTGTAAGTCGGGAAAGCAAAAAAAAAAAAGGGGGGGAAAGCTACGACGCCCATCCCGTAATATTCTGAGTATTAAAAGCACAGCTGAAACATTAGGATCTGAAATCTGATACTGCCCATGTACAGTAAGCAGCTTTCAGGCGTTTTTTATCCAGCTGTGGAAAACCATACTGTCATCAGGTACAACAACAGATCAAACCCCTGTCCCGACGTCAACTTTTTCACGTAAGGCCTGAAAAATCACCCTCCCCGATCAACACTTTCCAGCTGCCAGTCTTCCATAGAGGCCACCCAGGGGCCAGGCAGACGCATGCAAATCTTATTTTTTAACAGGAGTGACCTCCACACACAGCCCTGTAAAGCTGTTTGCTTCCTTCCCCACTTCACCATCAGCAGAGAAAAACCAGAGGCAGTCTTTTCCACAGCTGGATAGACGTATACAGAACGGCAGGATGGTTCTAGAAGATCATTCTTTTTGGAAAAGCTATCTGTGCTAAGATTGCAAAACATACAGATAAGCTCCCACAAATTAGGTCAAATGACGGATCAACGTGTAACATCTACGAGGTCAAATTCCAGTTTAGAATAAAGTGCCTAGATACACATGGATACAACAGGCCATAATGGTTGAATTCTTTACACATGTCTCTTATGGGCATGGAAAACAGACTGTCTGCCTGTGTACATTACATAAGAGAAACCAGTTGGATCTGAGTCATAGCTACTCCAATTAAAAAAAAAAAACAAACACGAAACAAACTGGTTAATCATGCAAGTCTGTCGGCCATATAACAATGACTAGGAACATGAATTTGCACAGCATTAATAAGTGCACTCATTAAAAACACTACGAAAGAGACTGTATTTGGCGCAGTATCTGATTTTCAAGTGTTAATAACCCGACCATTAAAAAAAAATCATTTTGAGCACTTTTCGAAAGACAAAACACGTAACTAAAAAATAACCCAAAGCGGGTAACAATCTGTTTTCAAATGCAAATAAAAGCTGGGTTGTGAACGATACACGACGTTACGTTGCAACAGACCTGGAAAACGATGATTCAGCCTGATATTAGGGCCAAGTTACACACACCTGAACATCAAAGGACTTAGAATCGTGCTCCTGTGGATGTGAGAACAGCACAAAAGAAAAACCAGCATCGCTCCGGGACAACTAGGTCTACTACAGTTGATGATTTATTGGTTTTTAAAAAATCATTTTACTGATGCAAAAGAGTCATCAAAAGAAATTAGTTTACAAAAGGCTTCTGAAAAGAGTTGGGAGAGGTGGGGCCTGTTATGTAAAACCTTTTAATTTTCACTAGTTTATCTTTTTTTTTTCCCCCCCAAAGAACTGTTATTATTCACGCTACAGGTAAGAGGAAATGAGTGTCCTCCACCCCCAGCTGGGCTGTCACTGACCCGGCCCCTGGCAGTCCTGGCAACCAGCACCCTGAGCCGTGGCTGTCATTGTACCATGACTGCACTCAGCACTTACAAGAGACAGGGTGCAGGTGACGCTAGCCACAGCCACAGCGCTACAGGTCAATGATAAAAACAAAACACAACACGAAACAGAAACGAAACCAACCCCACCGTCTCCAAGTTCACGGGGACTGGAATTCCTATTGCAACTCTTTCCAAAGGCCAAGGCGCTGGCAACAGTAGAGCTCGGGGTGTTTACAACAGAGCTCGGGGGCAGAACCAGGCCCCGGTCAAAGATGGCAGTGCCATCTGCACACCACCGTCACCACCCTCCGTCACCCGACTGTGTCTTATGTAACCGACTAGCATGCAGCATTAGGATCTTACAACTGATTGCGTGGGCAGTGAGCAGTGGTCAACTTTGCCTTAAAAAATCAAGAGAAAGTCTCCCTCGAAACCACACCGTCCCCCAAATTCTCTCAGCAGCAAACTCCCAGGCAGTCCTCAATGTCCCAACAACTGAACTTGAAAAACAAAACAAAGACGGACTCAAAACCTCTTTTCCCGTTCCTTTCAGGGGACAGTGTTTTGGGGGTCAAAACACTTGGTGAGGTTGCCCAGTGGCGTGCCCACTTCACAAGGGTGCCCCTGCCAACTCACTTCCTCTCCTTCTCCACCAGTTGGCCTCCGGCCTGCGACAGGAGCCAGCCACAAGGAATAACGGACAGTAAGGCAATCTTACAACGTCAGAAAATGTATTTGGCTTTTTTTTTTCTTCTTTTTAAAATAAGTGCATTACAAATACAGCTAGAAGCAGTTGGGGGGGGGGGTTGCCAAGTGCTCTAAAAAAGCAGCGCAAGTCACAGCCTACATGGAACTGGTCACTGTCACCAAGATAGTGAAGCACAGAGATAGGCTAATAACGTTAACAAAAGAAGAAAAATGCCTTGATAAGTACATACCTTTTGTCGTCAAAAAAAAATATATATATAGAAACACAATGTATTCAAAAAAAATCATCAAAATTATACAGCCATGTTTATGAAGTCTACATTTCCCTTGTCTTGGATATATATATATATAATATATATATGGAGATTATATATATACAGTTCAAGCAGTTTTCGTTAAGGGTTGCCATCGGGTTTTTCCGAAACCGGGAAGTCACGAGTCTCTCTCTTTTTTCACTTTCACGTCTCCGGCCAGGATGGTGGCGATCTCCCCTTGCATGAAGGCCCAGGGGACGTTGGAGCCCACCAGGGGGCACTTCTCCCCGCTGGGGCAGTAGACCTCCCCGCTGGCCCCCTGCTGCTTGATGCTCTGTCTGGAGCAAGGGAAGCAGAACTTGTGGGAAGGGACCGACGGGCACTGCACGAAGTGGGTGTCCTCCAGGCGCTCGTGGCAGAGGGTGCAGCACAGGGGGGCGCTGGCCGCCAGGGAGGAGTCCGGGAGGCTGGCGGGGTGCACGGGCTCCAGTCCTCCGGTGCCGCCGGCCCCCTGGCTCCCCACCTCCCTGGGGCCCAGCCTTCTTTGGTTCATAGAGGACGGAGAGGGCGGGCTGCTGCTATTCCTCCTGGTGGTGGAGTGCACCGGGTTGGCATCTTTGGAGGCGTGGCTGCCCCCCGCATTGTCTGCTACTAGGATCAGGGCTGCCATGGGGGACTGGCCGTTCTGGGCAGCTTCGGGCGGCGTGGTGGTCCGGTTGGAATGGGGCGAGGCTGTGGGCGGCGGCGGAGACACAAACGAGGGTGTCGGGTTCAGGGGGATCTTGAGCCCTTCCGTGGACGTGGACAGCCACGGCTGGGCCTCCCCGTTGATCTTCGGGGGGCCGACCTCTCCTTCCGGCTCAGGGGAAGTCTTCCTTTTCCTTGCTGTTCTTGCCACTGAAAACCACAAGCAAATAGGAAAAAAAAAGGGGGGGGGGAGAGAAGAGAAAAATAAATGAACACACACTTGGAAAAGGATCACTTCCTAATGCACCTCTGTCTACCCTGTGAAAGCCTGCATGTATATGTGCGTATGTGTGTGTGTGTGTGTGTATAAAACCCATGTAAGCTTCAAATGCACGTGCAACTTAAAACACCCATGTTCACGGGGCTGGCTCCCTAACAGTTTCTTTAAAAAGCTACCGAAACTGGCCCACAGACGCCTGCCTATTTTTACGCATTGCACGCATGTCCCCGGCTTGACCTGTTGCCTGGGGGTTTGAAGGTGGGGTACCCCCGCCCCCGCCCCCGGCTGCTCCCGTCCAAGAACGCATTGCTGGGGAACTGGGGAAGGAAACCCTGTCAGGCCCTGCAGCCCCGCCTGACTCATCTCTGTTGTGCTGCTTCAGCACATGAACACGTTGCCACCGCGCGCTGGTTCCGCCCGCCCGCCCCGGGGCGCGCAGGAAGTTGGCTGTTTGTTGTTTCTGGGCTGGGGCTGGGGCAGATGTGAATGGAAAGAACCGCCC